CTCTGATGTTGATAGTTCTCTCTTGAACACTGTGAGGGGTCGGCCAGTTATGTCCCTTATGTGTAGTGGAAGCGTGTTGAACAGTCTCGGGCCTCTGATGTTGATAGTTCTCTCTTGAACACTGTGAGGGGTCGGCCAGTTATGTCCCTTATGTGTAGTGGAAGCGTGTTGAACAGTCTCGGGCCTCTGATGTTGATAGTTCTCTCTTGAACACTGTGAGGGGTCGGCCAGTTATGTCCCTTATGTGTAGTGGAAGCGTGTTGAACAGTCTCGGGCCTCTGATGTTGATAGTTCTCTCTTGAACACTGTGAGGGGTCGGCCAGTTATGTCCCTTATGTGTAGCGGAAGCGTGTTGAACAGTCTCGGGCCTCTGATGTTGATAGTTCTCTCTTGAACACTGTGAGGGGTCGGCCAGTTATGTCCCTTATGTGTAGCGGAAGCGTGTTGAACAGTCTCGGGCCTCTGATGTTGATAGTTCTCTCTTGAACACTGTGAGGGGTCGGCCAGTTATGTCCCTTATGTGTAGTGGAAGCGTGTTGAACAGTCTCGGGCCTCTGATGTTGATAGTTCTCTCTTGAACACTGTGAGGGGTCGGCCAGTTATGTCCCTTATGTGTAGTGGAAGCGTGTTGAACAGTCTCGGGCCTCTGATGTTGATAGTTCTCTCTTGAACACTGTGAGGGGTCGGCCAGTTATGTCCCTTATGTGTAGTGGAAGCGTGTTGAACAGTCTCTGGCCTCTGATGTTGATAGTTCTCTCTTGAACACTGTGAGGGGTCGGCCAGTTATGTCCCTTATGTGTAGCGGAAGCGTGTTGAAAAGTCTCGGGCCTCTGATGTTGATAGTTCTCTCAGAGTACCTGTTGCACCTCCGCTCTTCGACGGGGGTATTCTGCACATCCTGCCATGTCTTCTGGTCTCATGTGATGTTATTTCTGTGTGCAGGAGACGCCTGTTAATTTACCCTTGGCAGATATTAGAGGGACTATCTCCACTTCCTCCCACAGCTCCTGACGAAAGAAATGATAGTAACCTTGTCCTCCGTGTGTGTGTGTGTGTGTGTGTGTGTGTGTGTGTGTGTGTGTGTGTGTGTGTGTGTAGGGGCGTGTGTGTAAGGGCGTGTGTGCGCTCACCTAGTTGTACTTGCGGGGTATGAGCTTCAGCTCTTGGTCCCAGCCTTCAATCAACTGGTGTTTATTGTACCAAGCCTTTTGGATGCTGCCAAAACTGCCAAACTGAATCCGTGTGTGTGTGAAGGTGGAAGTGCACGCTTGCTTATCTTTAAGTACGGGGGAAGAGTCTAGCTCTAGGGACCCGCCTCCTGCTCTTGGGTACCTATAGTGCCTTTTTAAACACAACACAAGACGTTCGACGTACATTAATGAGTTTGGCTGGATGAGCTTCAGTTGGTTCTGCGGGATCAATGTCCCCGCGGCGTGGTCAAGCAGACTGTTAGACGCTGCTGCTTGCAGTCAAACAGCTCGGCTGATCAGGTATCCTTTCGAGAGGTTTAGCATTGTTTAAGTTCTCTCTTAAAGACGGTGAGAGTAGCCTCCTTGTATGGGTCAAGAGCTTCAGGTTCTTTTGTTGTTAGGGTCATTACAATCATCATACTTGTTGTCTAAACGGTTAAGAAGGTGACTTTCACCTCCCTCTCACGTTATGAGAGCTTCTTGTATCACCCTCGCTATCTTTTACGTAGTGATCACGTCTCCTAGTGTGGTGAAATTATTTTTCTTAGCTTGTCTTTGTAGCTACTTTGTAGTTAGCACCAGAATGACACAGTCAACTGCTCTAAACTCCTAGGAGGGGGGGGGGAGGGGGAGGAGAGAGGGAGAGGGAGAGAGGGAGAGGGAGAGAGGGAGAGAGAGAGAGGGAGAGAGGGAGGGAATGAGGGAGGGAGAGAGAGAGGGAGAGAATGAGGGAGGGAGAGAGAGAGGGAGAGAGAGAGGGAGAGAGGGAGGGAGAGAGGGAGGGAATGAGGGAGGGAATGAGGGAGGGAATGAGGGAGGGAGAGAGGGAGGGAGAGAGAGAGGGAGAGAGGGAGGGAATGAGGGAGGGAGAGAGGGAGGGAATGAGGGAGGGTGAGAGGGAGGGAGAGAGGGAGAGAGAGAGGGAGAGACACACACAGACAACAGTGTGGTGTGGAACACACTTGTTACATAAACCACAGACATAAATACCTCCTCCCCCCCCCCCCGCAGGTAACCAACTACCCAATTACTGACCATCGCGGCGACCAACACTTCCTGGAGCCCCGCTGCTCCCCCCCCCCCCTGTAGGGGACGGGGGGGGGGGAGTAGGCAGGTAGTAGCCAACTACTTGCCTACTTCCAAACTTATCAGACTTGCCTAGGGGGGGAAGTAGACAATTCCCCTCCCCCCCCTACTAGGAAGTAGGGGGGGTCTGTAGGCCGATGGACTCATTTCTTGCAAGGTCGGCGTTCGATCTCCGACGGTCCAAGTGGTTATAAGCATCGCTTCCTCACGTTATGCTATCCCAGTTCCTCGTCCCACTAGTCCTTCCACGTGTCCCGAAGACTGCTTTGGTCTCGCCTCTCAACTGTCAATCAACAGGTGTACAGGTTCCTGAGCCTACTGGGCTCTATCATATCTACACTTGAAACTGTGTATGGAGTCAGCCTCCACCACATCACTTCCTAATGCATTCCATCTGTTAACTACTCTGACACTGAAAAAGTTCCTTCTAATGTCCCTGTGGCTCATGTGGGTACTCAGTCTCCACCTGTGTCCCCTTGTTCGTGTCCCACCAGTGTTGAATAGTTTGTTTTTGTTCACACGTGTCTATTGACCCACTGTGGTGACCGGTTATGACCCAGTTTTTCTCAGGTGAACCCTGGCGTGGATGTCGGGCAGACTAGCAACACTGTGTGTGTTGTGAAGCGAGAAAGGTACACGCTGGAGGGGAGGGGGAGGTGAGGGGGGCGTGGGTGAAGGGGGGGGCGTGGGTGAGGGGGGGGGGCATGGGTGAGGGGTGGGGGCGTGGGTGAAGGGGGGGTGGCGTGGGTGAGGGGAGACTTGGAATGTTGTACAGATGAGAGTGATGGTTGCCACCGGAAGCGGCTAGTTTATTGTGCACCCCATACTCCTCCTGTGAGCGGTAGCGCAAAAAGCATTACAGAGGGCACAAAAGGTCTTTATCAGACCTCATCTTAGATTATTACATAAACAATTTCATCTATCCTTCACACCTTATAGTTACAATGTCAGCTAGTTACAGAGAAAGTGCTATTTCAAGAGCTACATATTTACAGTAAGTCATACATTAATGGTAGGTCTTATCGCTAATACATAATAGTTTGACCAATGGGGATATTACAAAGTCATAGGGGAGCTTCTGTTTATTATTAGTCTTCAATATACACTACTTGTTTCTGAATCTCATATGTCGTTCATCTACTGGGAGCAAAATGTGGATACAGTGCAAGGATTTAAGGTAATTTATCCATGGTAATAAGATAGGTTGCCATATCATACAGAGTGAGCTTAGATTTATCTCTAAATGGCTCAATTTTACTACAATCCAAGATATAGTGTTCGAGTGTGTGTCCCTGTCTTTGTCCACACACTTTACACTTTACTTCATCTAGTTCCCTATACAAGCCCAACTGCCAGAGATACTTGTAGCCAAGTCTTATACGAGCTGTGACAACATCTGTTAGTCTACTTATTTTATAAGTTATCCCTCTCGAAAGAGAGAGAGAGAGAGGGAGAGAGAGAGAGAGAGAGAGAGAGAGAGAGAGAGAGGGAGAGGGAGGGAGAGAGAGAGAGAGAGAGAGAGAGAGAGAGAGAGAGAGAGAGAGAGAGAGAGAGAGAGAGAGAGAGAGAGAGAGAGAGAGAGAGAGAGAGAGAGAGAGAGAGAGAGAGAGAGAGAGAGAGAGAGATGTTACCCAATCACAAGAATCGTTTAACGGGTTATTCATGCCCATGCCACCTCTTCGGTGGCTTAATCTTCATCAATCAGTGTGAGGATCGTTCCTCCTTCACAGGGTCGAGCCTGGCCTCGGGCCGGGCTTGGGGAGTAGAAGAACTCCCAGAACCCCATCAACCAGGTATCAACCAGGTATCAACCAGGTATCAACGTCCGGGGCAGACCAGACACCAGAACACTAACATGGGTTAACTGTGATGTGTAAACCACTGTGGTTTACACATTGGTAATTTATCCACTGTGTAAACCACTGATTTACACAGTGGTTTATAGACCAAATTCCTCCCCTTACAGGCCACCTTTAGCACCACAAAGAACCTATGCAATAATACTCTTCACCAAACTACATTTTACAAAGGGAGTCTTGGCTCACAAGCATGTACGAGAAATTGCAGTGCAATGGACTCGAACTTGCGTTTCGGGTCACCGCGTATTACCCACTAGACCATGATATACCTTAGATTGCCTGAGGCTAATCTGAACTCTACTCTTGAAGGAAACTATCACGGGGGAAAGCGCCAAGCTATTACGACTATATAGTACTTGGAAGGGGTCAGGATAAAGATTTGGGATGGGACGGAGGGAAAGGAATGGTGCCCCCAATCACCTGTGGACGGTCGGGGATTGAACGCCGACCTATATGAAGCGAGACCGTCACTCTACCGTCCAACCCAAGAACGAGTGAAGATGTAAGAGTTGATATCGCTCCGGGCTAGAAGAATTAGATTTCTCAAGAGATGAGAACTGTTCAAACATGGGCCTTAGTAACTTTGTAACACTCCTGCCTCGTGTGTGTGTGTGTGTGTGTGTGTGTGTGTGTGTGTGTGTGTGTGTGTGTGTGTGTGTGTGTGTGTGCGTGCGTGCGTGTGTGCGTGTGCGTGTGCGTGTGTGTGTGTATTACACCCGTACACAACACAAAGCCCCAATCCTGTACCTGCCGTGAGCAAAAACTGACCCACAAAGCCAATTCTGAAAATTCAGTGTGAAAAGAAGTGTCACATAAGATTGAAACCTGTATACTGTGGACTCCTGAGCCTACGAGCCCCTCCACTATGAAGACGGAGAGCTTCCTGGAGGCCCAGGAGGGCTTCCTGGAGGCCCAGGAGGGCTTCCTGGAGTGTCTGGAGGCCCAGGAGGGCTTCCTGGAGTGTCTGGAGGCCCAGGAGGGCTTCCTGGAGTGTCTGGAGGCCCAGGAGGGCTTCCTGGAGTGTCTGGAGGCCCAGGAGGGCTTCCTGGAGTGTCAGGAGGCCCAGGAGGGCTTCTTGGAGTGTCTGGAGGCCCAGGAGGGCTTCCTGGAGGGTCTGGAGGCCCAGGAGGGCTTCCTGGAGAGTCTGGAGGTCCAGAAGGGCTTCCTGGAGGGTCTGGAGGCCCAGGAGGGCTTCCTGGAGTGTCTGGAGGTCCAGGAGGGCTTCCAGGAGGGTCTGGAGGCCCAGGAGGGCTTCCTGGAGTGTCTAAAGGCCCAGGAGGGCTTCCTGGAGGGTCTGGAGGTCCAGGAGGGCTTCCTAGAGTGTCTGGAGGCCCAGGAGGGCTTCCTGGAGAGTCTGGAGGTCCAGGAGGGCTTCCTGGAAAGTCTGGAGGCCCAGGAAGGATTCCTGGAGAGTCTGGAGGTCCAGGAGGGCTTCCTGGAGGGTCTGGAGGTCCAAGAGGGCTTCCTGGAGAGTCTGGAGGTCCAAGAGGGCTTCCTGGAGAGTCTGGAGGTCCAGGAGGGCTTCCTGGAGGTCCAGGAGGGCTTCCTGGAGAGTCTGGAGGCCCAGGAAGGCTTCCTGGAGAGTCTGGAGGCCCATGAGGGCTTCCTGGAGAGTCAGGAGGCCCATGAGGGCTTCCTGGAGAGTCTGGAGGTCCAGGAGGGCTTCCTGGAAAGTCTGGAGGCCCAGGAGGGCTTCCTGGAAAGTCTGGAGGTTTAGGAGGGCTTCCTGGAAAGTCTGGAGGTCCAGGAGGGCTTCCTGGAGAGTCTGGAGGCCCAGGAAGGCTTCCTGGAAAGTCTGGAGGTCTAGGAGGGCTTCCTGGAAAGTCTGGAGGTCCAGGAAGGCTTCCTGGAAAGTCTGGAGGCCCAGGAAGGCTTCCTGGAAAGTCTGGAGGCCCAGGAAGGCTTCCAGAAAAACGTCACATTAACATAACTGAAGAAACTCAACATAGGTCGAAAGTGAGATGGTTTCGGTCCGGCCTGGACCCCTTGTAGATACTTGTTAAGAGTCCAGGATGGACCGAAACGTCGTGATAACGGTCCAGGACGGACAGAAACGTCGTCACTTTCAAACCATGTGTGGACGGCTTGGGTTTTAAGCACCATTTCTTAGGTTTCTGGCAGGTGGTGGAGGCGTGGTGTTCACAGTGTTCTCTGTTCTATAATTATTGGAGTGAGAACATTATCCAAGTTTTCCTTTCCTTAATAACATATAAGAAACAATTTCGCAAAGGAGAGAGGAAGTGGTGTTGGGGGAGGTGTCCAGCCCACACCAGGGGTGGGACTCAGGGAGGTGTCCAGCCCACACCAGGGGTGGGGCACAGGGAGGTGTCCAGCCCACACCAGGGGTGGTGGCTCGGGGAGGTGTCCAGCCCACACCAGGGGTGGTGGCTCGGGGAGGTGTCCAGCCCACACCAGGGGTGGTGGCTCGGGGAGGTGTCCAGCCCACACCAGGGGTGGTGGCTCGGGGAGGTGTCCAGCCCACACCAGGGGTGGTGGCTCGGGGAGGTGTCCAGCCCACACCAGGGGTGGTGGCTCGGGGAGGTGTCCAGCCCACACCAGGGGTGGTGGCTCGGGGAGGTGTCCAGCCCACACCAGGGGTGGTGGCTCGGGGAGGTGTCCAGCCCACACCAGGGGTCGTCACGAGCCAGGGTTCACCAAACAATAACAAAAGTACCCACAAACCCACACATCTTTTACCATCTTTGACGGCTGTGTTTACATTTATTAAACAACTGACGATCACCCAAACAGCTGACGATCACCCAAACAGCTGACGATCACCGAATTTATTAAACAGTCGACGATCACCAAAACTTCCCGGTCAAATGTCAGTTATAAACAGCTTCCTGGTGCCTCGGAGCTCCCAAACTGTTTAATATGTGTCAACAAAGCCGCCAAGGATATATACAGGTTCGCACGTACCTGCATAACTGCTTGACGAGGCTTGGACCAGGATACGATGGCTCCAAGGACACTACTTCTCCCTTAATTATTCTATCTCCCACCTTCCGTTTTCTCTTAACCTCCCTCTCATTCCATCTTCGTTTATTATTCCATATCTTAGGGAGGGAGAGAGGGAGGGAGAACTAAAGGGAGGGAGGGAAGGAGGGTGAGAGAGAGAGGGAGGGAGGGGTAGACAGCCGGGAGTCCCATCAGTCACACCCAGGCGACGAAATCCCTTCAGCCGGACTCCACGACCCACAAACACTCAACTGCTGCGCGCGCACACCCACTCACCATGTAAACAAACATTGTCATATTATATATATATATATATATATATATATATATATATATATATATATATATATATATATGTCGTACCTAGTAGCCAGAACGCACTTCTCAGCCTACTATTCAAGGCCCGATTTGCCTAATAAGCCAAGTTTTCCTGAATTAATATATTTTCTCTAATTTTTTTCTTATGAAATGATAAATCTAACCATTTCATTATGTATGAGGTCAATTTTTTTTTATTGGAGTTCAAATTAACGTAGATATATGACCGAACCTAACCAACCCTACCTAACCTAACCTAACCTATCTTTATAGGTTAGGTTTGGTTAGGTAGCCGAAAAAGTTAGGTTAGGTTAGGTTAGGTAGGTTAGGTAGTCGAAAAACAATTAATTCATTAAAACTTGGCTTATTAGGCAAATCGGGCCTTGCATAGTAGGCTGAGAAGTGCGTTCTGGCTACTAGGTACGACAGATATATATATATATATATATATATATATATATATATATATATATATATATATATATATATATATATATATATATATATATATAGACACTGAACACAGCAGCATTTTTTCCCCATTCTAAGCAAATATCTTAGCAGTGTGACATCTTAAGGGGTACACTATGCTGAACTGACAGGGGATACTGGGCATACAAGTTCTGTGTTTTTAGATTCAGCTACTTGGAACAAAAAGTTCCAAGTAGCACGGGCTATGGTGAGCCCGTAGTGGACTTACCTTCTTATCTTGAGATGATTTCGAGGCTTAGAGTCCCCGCGACTCGGTCCTCGACCACGCCTCATTTTTGTTACACATCCCCAGGAAGCAGCCTGTATATAGCAGCTAGCTAACTCCCAGGTACCTATTTACTGCTAGGTGAACTAGGCATCAGGGTGAAAGAAACTCTGCAAATTTGTTTCCGCCTCCACCGGGAATCGAACTCGGAATAACTTCCGGGTTCGATAGCCATGAATAACTTCATGGTTATTTGATCATGGTTCGATAAAAGATAACCATGATAACTTCCCCTTGTGGCATCCTGGACCAACATCCATCAGCATTTACGCATCCACATGCGAAACCTGTACATCTTAATCATTTCGACTGTGTTTACACTGACTAATATAGTTAAGGAGCTTCCTAACCAAAGATTATAGAGTCCAGGGAGCCGGTCGGCCGAGCGGACAGCACGCTGGGCTTGTTATCCTGTGGTCCTGGGTTCGATCCCGGGCGCCGGCGAGAAACAATGGGCAAAGTTTCTTTCACACTATGCCCCTGTTACCCAGCAGTAAAATAGGTACCTGGGTGTTAGTCAGCTGTCACGGGCTGCTTCCTGGGGGTGGAGGCCTGGTCGAGGACCGGGCCGCGGGGACACTAAAGCCCCGAAATCATCTCAAGATAACTTCAAGATAGACAACCTCGTTGTCCTCCGGACTCATAAACTGTTTAATAAAGATAAACAAGGCCAATATGGTTGAGGAAAGATGTACAGGTTTCGTAAATGCTTGACGACTGCTGGCTTTGGCCCACGATGTTGACACTTATGGAGCAGCTGTGTTTACGTGTGTTTGAGAAGCGTTTAACTCAGTTTATTATTTAAACAGTTCTGAAACCTGCCACCAAGAGGCAGGTACTGCGCACGCGCGCGCGTGCGTGCGTGCGTGCGTGTGTATATATATATATATATATATATATATATATATATATATATATATATATATATATATATATATATATATATATATATGTCGTACCTAGTAGCCAGAACGCACTTCTCAGCCTACTATGCAAGGCCCAATTTGCCTAATAAGCCAAGTTTTCACGAATTAATATATTTTCTCTAATTTTTTTCTTATGAAATGATAAAGCTACCCATTTCATTATGTATGAGGTAAATTTTTTTTATTGGAGTTAAAATTAACGTAGATATATGACCGAACCTAACCAACCCTACCTAACCTAACCTAAACTTATCTTTATAGGTTAGGTTGGGTTAGGTAGCTGAAAAAGATAGGTTAGGTTAGGTAGGTTAGGTAGTCGAAAAACAATTAATTCATGAAAACTTGGCTCATTAGGCAAATCGGGCCTTGCATAGTAGGCTGAGAAGTGCGTTCTGGCTACTAGGTACGACATATATATATATATATATATATATATATATATATATATATATATATATATATATATATATATATATATATATATATATATATATACATACACACGGTACCTTTCTGACATCATACACAAGTCCTGGACCCTTCCTGGCAGTTATTTATATCAACTCATGGAAACTCTTATTTATATATCCGTCTAACCTACGCTTGAAACACTCTAGGGGGTTCCCGAAGCACTCACCCCTTGAGTGTGGGTGGTGGTGGGACCCCTAGTCCCCAGGGGCCAGATTCACGAAGCAGTTACGCAAGTACTTACGAATGTGTACATCTTTCCTCAATCTCTGACGGCTTTGTTTACATTTATTAAACAGTTTACAAGCATGAAAACTTACCAATCAACTGTTGTTATTGTTATAAACAGCCTCCTGGTGCTTCGGAGCTCATTAACTGTTTAATAATTGTAAACATAGCCGCTAAAGATTGAGAAAAGATGTACAGGTTCGTAAGTGCTTGCGTAACTGCTTCGTGAATCTGGCCCCAGAAATTCATCTTGGGCCACCAAGACGGGTTCAGTGAGGAGACCATATCTAACAAATCTATCACATTTATGCCATGATAAAACACGACATGAGAGTTGCCTGCCTCTCAAGTGTGTTTTGAGGGCAAGGAAGCACTTGTCCTGCGCCACACACACACCTGAGAACAAAGTTGGTGTAACTAGAAAAGTGCTTTGCTTGGTAAGGGAGTACCTCTCAGAGAGAAAACAGAGGGTCACTGTGAGGGGGGAATGCGAGAGTGGCGCTGTTATCATCCATGTCAAGGATTTCACAGTTAAAATCAAATCGAATCTGAATATACAAATCATGCGACTCCCTTCCCCTCTCTCTCCCTCTCTCTCTCTCTCTCTCTCTCTCTCTCTCTGAGGAGAGAGAATGCTAATGTATGATGGACTGAGAGTACATATGGCCACATGTGACAGCAGAGGCACACATTAGCAGGAGTAAGAGATTGAGGAGACATGTTCAGACGGTCACTACACATCACGATGATTGACAGCCAACATGTGGGGCTCTGGCGTCCCCCCTCCCCACACCCTGCCCCCTACACCCCCCACCCTGCCCCCTACACCCCCTCCCCTCCCACCCTGCCCCCTACACCCCCTCCCCTCCCACCCTGCCCCTACACCCCCTCCCCCTATTCACCATCTCTGTACACCACATACCAATATAATCCAGGGTCCTCTCATTGTGGTATAAGGGTTAGTGGTGCAGGCTGGGGGGCAAGGGGGGTGCAGGCTGGGGGGACAAGGGGGTGCAGGCTGGGGGGCAAGGGGGTGCAGGCTGGGGGGCAAGGGGGTGC